GATCTTTGTCATTTGATTTGTTTGGAAGAATCATCAGACTAAGAGAAGAGGAATCCAAATACAGAAACAGAGGGAGGAATGGAAATGTATCCTGGAAGATAGTCATGTGGACCATTAATTACAGAAATTGGTGATTAAACAATGTGAATTGGCAGTATAGTGGTTCTGAGTATAAATACTGGACTTCATGAGTTCTTGTCCACTTGCTACATCTAACTGAATTTGAACAATTAACTTCTCTTGAGCCTCAGTCATCTTGTCTGTGAGGATAGCCAAAGGGCCACCCACCCCTTATAGAATTGTTGCATAGACAACAGTAAGGTGCTTAGAACTTGAGCTTAAACAGTAAGGTGCTTAGAACTCTGCATTGGTTTTGTATCTAGTAAATATAAGTGGTTTTGGTGGAAAGGAATGCTTTCTTTGGGAGGGGAGTTTGGCTTAATGCTTAGCAGTAGGAACCAGGTTTCTGATATTTTAATTCCATCCCAAATGCAGATTTGTAAGAAAGGACTGGACCTGTGACAAATCTCTGCTGGGGCTCCAGTTTTCCCATATTAAGTTAGCTCATTTACCCCTTACAGGTAATTAGTGTCAAGTAGGATTTTCGGAGGTGGTTTAGGGCTTATTTTTAAGTCCGAGGCTTCTTCCGTCACAGGTCAGTCAGGAGATCCTAGAGTTACTAAATACTACAACAGCTAAGGAGCAATCCATTGTTGAAAAGTTTCGCTCACGAGGTCGGGCCCAAGTACAGGAGTTCTGTGACTATGGAACCAAGGAGGAGTGCATGAAAGCCAGTGATGCTGATCGTCCCTGTCGCAAGCTGCACTTCAGGTCTTGAGGGAGGGAGGGAGGTGGGACAGGCCTCCTAGAAGCAGTCTTTAATTTTTTTTATCTTGATAACCATTTGATTAATTTTATTTATACTTTTTTTTAATTAAGGTATCATTGATAGACAATCTTAGGAAGGTTTCACATGAGTAACATTGTGGTTACAACATTCACCTGTATTATCAAGTCCTCCCACCCCACCCCATTGCAGTCATCACTGTCCATCAGCATAATAAGATGCTGTAAAGTCACTACTTGTTTTCTCCATGCTATACTGCCTTCCCGTGACCCACCTATGTTAATGTGTGCTAATCATATTGACCCTTAATCCCCTTCTCCCTCTTTCCCCACCCTCCCCAATCCCTTCCCTTTGGTAACCACTAGTCCCTTCCTGGAGTCTGTGAGTCTGTTGTTTTGTTCCTTTAGTTTGAAGCAGTCAGTTTTATTCAGCGCATTCCTTCTGGTCATTGGGGTTCTGTCTTTGATGCTATTGTTAAATGGTTTTAATATAGTTTGTCCAAGACCTCTAGACTCTGAAGGCCTACTTACAGAAGTAGTGATCTTTGGGAGGAAATACAGGCTGTACTCCCATATAGATGTGAGATTTTAAAAGCCCCCTTTTTGCAGTAGCAAGGAATCTCTGAGCCCCAGTGAAAGTTAAAGTTCTCTGGAAGGAGGATGATCTTAGGAGAAGTCTGTTTTATTCTCTTTAACCAGGAAGCCCTTCCGTCTTTCCTGTCGTAAGATGAGGAAGTTAACTATTTGCTCAGAGAGACACTAAAACTCTTAAACATGAATTATGGATTTCCATGTCACCTGCCTCCCTCCTTTGAAATCTCATGGAGGAAGTTCTAATGATAGAGAAAATAAGGAATGGGTAATAAAAGGACAGTTTGAAACAATTGGAAATTGAACTGTGTGATCTAACTCTGGGATACCATCTTGATTCTGACTCTTAATTTCCTCAGACGAATCATCAACAAACACACTGATGAGTCATTGGGTGATTGCTCTTTCCTTAATACATGTTTCCACATGGATACCTGCAAATATGTTCACTATGAAATTGATGCTTGCATGGATTCTGAGGCTCCTGGGAGCAAAGACCATACACCCAGCCAGGAGCTTGCTCTTACACAGAGTGTTGGAGGTGATTCTAATGCAGATCGACTCTTCCCACCTCAGGTACCTGTCTGGTCAGGAACCTTACATCTGGATTTAGGGCAGCCATTCATGTAGGAAAGCAGGGCATAATGAGCAGTCTGTCTTGCTGATTGGGAATGGAGTGGGGTAGATACACGAATTAAGGGAGTAGGAAAAGAGGGACTGGGGCCATGAACCTGAGAGTGAAGGAAGGGAAGATGACCAAATACCACCTCATGCAGTGGATCTGTTGTGATATCCGCTACCTGGACGTCAGTATCTTGGGCAAGTTTGCAGTTGTGATGGCTGACCCACCCTGGGATATTCACATGGAGCTGCCCTATGGGACCCTGACAGATGATGAGATGCGCAGGCTCAACATACCAGTACTGCAGGATGATGGCTTTCTCTTCCTCTGGGTCACAGGCAGGTAATGCAGTTCAAAGATATGTAGATATGGGCAGATAGAATACAGAGTGAGTACTGGGTGGGGATAAAATCCTGGGTTTTCCTTGCTTTGCTATTAAATGTATAAGTCAGCCTTTTTTTCCTACTGAGACCTTATGCCTGCTTATCATACAAATGATACCATGAATTCTTTTTGACTCATTTGTTCCTTGTGAAAGGAAAGGTCATTGAGAACAGATGTCTGTCTTCATTCTTAGATCCCTCCTGCTGACCTAATGGTATCTTGCATGTACATGTTCACTGAATGCTTACTGAAAGGAATACTTCTCATGTATCTTGGGGAAAAAATCTGGGTATAAAAATAGCTATTTAACACTCATTTCTTTCTAGGGCCATGGAGTTGGGCAGGGAGTGTCTGAACCTCTGGGGGTAAGTGTGATCATTGGGTTGTTTTTTTTGAAGGTAAATACATAATTGCTATAGTTGTGTTCCCCTCCCCCAGAGTGTTCCCTGCAATTCCTTGCCTCTGTAGATGGTACTACCTCTAAACTGTGACAGCCAGGTGAAAGCTGTAGTTCTCTTTCTTGTGCCCAGTTATGAACGGGTTGATGAAATCATCTGGGTGAAGACAAATCAACTGCAGCGCATCATCCGGACAGGCCGGACAGGTCACTGGCTGAACCATGGGAAGGAACACTGCTTGGTGAGTGGCGGTGGGCTCCAATTCAGTACGTGGAGCAAAAGGAGGAATCATTTCCGCTTAATGAGAAAAAGTTCAAATGCTGGGATTCGTAAGGTAATACATTCTCTGTGGCAAGCAGGTTGGTGTCAAAGGAAATCCCCAAGGCTTCAACCAGGGTCTGGATTGTGATGTGATCGTCGCTGAGGTATGTGCTTCCTCAGGCATGAAAGCCTTCCACATTTTAATTGGTATCAGTTATTCAAGTCAGGTGTATTTTTGTCCCAAGTTCTCACATTTGGATCATGAACATAAATGGAAAGGGCTAGAATTGCGGTCTTGGGTAACTTTAAAGTAGCTAGAGCCTTTTATTTCCTAGGTTCGTTCCACCAGTCATAAACCAGATGAAATCTATGGCATGATTGAGAGACTATCCCCTGGTACTCGAAAGATTGAGTTATTCGGACGACCACACAATGTGCAACCCAACTGGTAAGATGACAGAGAACATGCTAGCTCCCAAGGAAAAACCTGTTCATGGTTAAGGATGGAAGTTATAGTGGAGCCAGTAGTCTACAAACGGGCTTCAGGGGATTCATAAGACACCTAAGCTTGTATTTGAACTGTTTTATGGGACTCTGTAACATTCATTGGAAACTCAACACATTTTAGGACTCAAACCACTGCTCTCTAGGGCCTCCATACACTCTTACTGCCTGAAGATCTGCCTCAGTTATCCTATGGGATGTACTGAATCTGCCCTCTGGTGGTTACTAAGAATTGTTTTTACTCTGTCAACAGTTGTAATGTTTTCATCCCATTAGTAGGGCTTCAAAAGACATGCTGGTAGCATTTTACTCAGCAAACTTGTTGAGGCCTATTAGTACAGATCCTGTTTTTAATTATTTATTTTTTAATTAAGGTATCATTACGAACGCTTCACACGAGCAACATTGTGGTTACAACATTTACCCATATTATCAAGTACCCCCCCTCACACCCCAATCACTGTCCATCAGCGTAGTAAGATGCTATAGAGTCACTGCTTGTCTTCTCTGCTATACTGCCTTCCCGTGACCCCTACATTATGTGTGTTAATCATAATGCCCTCGGATCCTGCCTGTTTTAACAGCAATATCTGTGCCTGATTACTAAACGATCATTTTCTATTCATTCCTATACTATCATTTTCACGATTATAATTATTAAGGTCTTTTTAAAAAGAATTAGCATATTTGATGATAGGTAGTCTTAATAAAAGGTACCCATCTTTTAACAGTATTAAGACATTTAATTTTGGATTTTTGATTTGTCCTTTCTTTATCCTTGCTTCAGGATCACCCTTGGAAACCAACTAGATGGGATCCACCTACTAGACCCAGATGTGGTTGCCCAGTTCAAGCAAAGGTATCCAGATGGTATCATCTCTAAACCTAAAAATCTATAGAAGCACTTCCCCAGAGTTAAGCATTGCCATGTTAACCATAGCCATGGTTCTGCAGGCTGCATCTGAAGAATATTTGTACAATAGCTTCTTTCCTTATTTAAATAAAAGTTTATATTGTAGTTGGGATTTTGAAGTCAAATTCTGGCTCTGCCACCTAACAGTGTGTGATCTTATGTAACTCATCTCTCAGTGTGATTTTTTTTATGTATAAATCTGGAAATATTACCTACCTCTTTGGGTTGCTGTGATGGTTCAAACTAAGAGCATTAAAATGGATTGTATTTTTAGGATCAAAGTGATTAGCAACAAGTATTATGTGAACATGGTAATCAAAAAGGTAGTTCTGTGGGACAGCATTTTTCAAGGTAAGATTTGAGTTTCATTTAGGACTATCATGCTCTAAACGTTTGCTTACTTTGTAACAACAATGATTTTGCTACTACTGTATTGCTTTTTAGGTTTTTTCCAAGAAAAATGAAATATACACATCTTAGATTAGGTAAGTGCCCAAAATGTGCAGGAAATTAGCCTTTATATTATGTAAGCCTCTTAGAAGATATCAAATACAAGTGAACATAGCTTTAACTTTGGTGAAACCTTTTATATTAATTTAAGGATATAGAGTTTGCCTTTTACACATAAACTTTGATTACTGAGATGAAGAGGGACATGTTGACATAAAGAGAAATAAGAAACTTCTCGGCAGGGTTGTTTTCCCTCCAGCCCAGTGTGCCTACTGTGTTGAAAACCTTTGTTCTCAACGTAATATACAGCTAGACATGACAGTAATAGTTTTCTGATTGAGGTAACCTTTAACGCAGGCTTTTCTCCCCTTTAAAATGGATCACACAGTGGTGTTTTCTCCTAGGCTCAAAGCAGAGTACTCTCCCATTATTTTAATAATTTTTTAGGCAAATCCTATGACAATTACACCAACACATTTCCTTAAAACAATCCCCCTACCCCATCACCACCCTTCTGTTTGTCCATATTCCCTTAATCATTTCCTCTATTATCACTGCTTTCACTGCTTGTACTTTAAAAGGCAATTCTAGAGTACAGTAAACTCAATAGCCCTGCTGCACAGCCTGGCTCCTGTTGAAGAGAGAGGAAAATGGAGAAGCATGGAGGACCAGTATGGATTGAGATCAGGCACTACCAGAAACCCAACTTTGTGTTTTAAAAATAGGCTCTTGGATTCCCAGCAGATAAGTCTTCACTGGCTTGGAGAACAGGAAGGACTATTTTACAAACACCACTGTGTTTGAATTTCTAGAGGCTACCCAGGCCAGGAAGACATCCCTAAGAGAGAAAAAAGATACACAAACTTAGAATTACAGCTCAGATAAACTCTTTTTTAAAATCTGTCTTAAACAGATTCCCAAATAATTTCCTATAACATCAACAAGATGAGATAGTATCACCCAATAGAATATAAGGACAATAGGCCTAAAAGAAGTATAGGCAATCCTAACTTACTGAAGAGGATTTGAGATAGAAATAGCAATGCCCTGTTTTAGATATAGGTAAACCTCAGGGAAAATTGCTAAGATGGCAAAATCTTCAGAACTTCTCCCCACCCCACCTTTACTCCTACCACATTTACTACCTTATTGTGCTACTCACCACTTAAGCCATTTTTCCTCAAATTCTTAATCTCTAAGTGGCCTGATTTACACTGAGATAAGCTAACATTCACAGAAACAGCTTAAATGTGTTGTCATATTTGTGAAGAGCAGACATAGAGGTAATGCTGTAACTGAGAAGTGTGAACTGCTATTTAATTGTGTCATCTTTGTGTGGCAAAGCAGGTGAACTTAACCTAGTAGCCTCTACAGTCATACATACACATAGCAATATATTCTACATAAGGTATGATGATACTGATTATATGCTCAGGATTACCATGTTTTCCAATACTGTTAATTTAACAATACTTGAATTATAAGAAGGGGAACTATAAACTTACCTGCAGTGCTTCACCACACACTCGTTGCTGCAGTATTCATTGTCCCAGTCCTTATTCACAACAGGAGGGTTCTCACAACCAGACCTCATACATCGAGGCTGGGGTGAGAGCGTCATAGGAGACCCACTCACCAATTCAACATCCATTTGAGAAGGAGACTCAACCTATATGAGAGAGAGCACCAAAGATAGATTAGATTGCTACCTATCTCACTTGCCAAATCAAATTAACTCTTGGACCCAATGGAGCAATAGGTGTTAATAATCCCTCACATATAGGATAAAGGTCCCAAAGGTGAGTTCTTGGTCTTTCCCTCTGTATCAAGTTTTACAGTTTTGCCAAGCAGACGGACATGAGTTCTTCCCAGCAGGGGAATGCTGGCCATATTCGAGTACTCTTTAATTTTAATCTTAACCATCACTGACTTTTATTCCACACTTGAACAATATTCCTCTGAAAATATCAAAAGCTGAATGTGAATACAAGTTGTATCATCTTAACTAAGATCAGGAGGGCTAAGAGAAGACTGTGGTGCCATTACAAAAGGGAAAGAATCTGGGAATTGTTTCCCATTGATTGCGGGGAGGTATTCTTTAAAATGGCTGCTCTGTTGTGGAGCAAGAGTCTCAGACCCATATTTTGAAATGATAACTGGTCATGTAAGAGTTAAAACTAGGAAAATTGGCATCTGTATATATCTTTGGGAAGACTCAATGATGTGAGCCAACTGAATTTTCCTAGTTACATCCCCTATTTATCTCCCAACTGAAAACATGTAAGATGTAGGAAAAATGAAGATTTATAGCTCTAAAGCTTAGAATCCTTGGGTAGGCACCTCTGAAAAGTAACAGTGCTTAGGCTGCATCGTCTGTAGCTGAACCATGGTATCCTGCTTAGTTAAGGGGTACTCAGGGACTACCTAATGGCCCTCCTACTGTTTCTCACCAAGAACGCTGCAGAGTATCTTGGGTTAAGACAAATCACAGTGATAGGGAACTGTCCACAGGATATTTTGTACTTCTGGTCGTCAGGCATTAAATGCTAGTAGTAACACCCACTTTACTTCATCCACCAAAAATGTTCTTAAAACTCTTCTGCTGGTAAAGACTTGAAAACAGACTCACCTCAGGAACTACATCTGTAATCATCTCACAGATTGTCTCAGTAGAGGTTTCCTCAACTGTGTGGGTTTCAGGGCTGCTGTTCACAGGCCTCTCAGGACTACTTTCCACAGCTGGTGGGACTAAGGTAGTCTGTACTTTCAGAGTGGGTGGAGGCACAAACTTGATTTGCAGAGGAGGGGGCTGTTGCTGTAAATTGATTCGAACTTTCTGAGATGGAGGCTGTTGCATGGCCTGGAGTGGGGGAGGCTGCTGCAGAATGGTCACTTGCTGCTGAGTTGGGGGCTGAGGCATCTGTTGCAATGGAGGGGGCTGTAGTCGTGGGGGAGGCAGTTGCATAGAAGCAGCAGCGGCTGCTGCTGCCTGCAACACTGACCGGGTGACAATTTGGGCTTGCTGACTGGGCTGGATAGTAGCTGTACTGGTTTGGCCTATTTGGAGCCCCCGGGAGGTTACCACTGTGGCTGGGATAACGGTAACCATTCCTCCTTGAGACATGGTAATAGACGAGGGCAACATCTGTTTGGTAATAATCAACTTGGTGATACTGGGCTGACCCCCAGCCCCAGAAGATGCCTGGTTTGCTACATAGGATGAAAGAGTGGAATTAACAACAATGGAAGAGGACAGGGAAGGGGGCTCTGTTGAGGCTGGTGCTGGCGATGCTGGGTCAACAGTAGCCACAGGAGGTGGAGAAGGAGTCTGTGATGGCACTGGATCCAGTTCCACTGTTTCCACAGTGGCCTAAAAGATAAGGTGGGAAAAGGTCGTCTGGAGATTTATTCTCTTCCCCAGGACATACTCCAATCACTCCCTAATCAAAGATACATGACAGATTGGGGGAAAAAAAAGTAGCTATAAGTTCTATCCTGGCACAAGTAAACTATGAAAATAAACTCAGAAAGACTGTTTAGCAAACTTAAGGATGAAAACAACAGGAAGCCCATTACATACTTTTAATACAACATAATGATTCCACAGGTTTTTGGTGGTATTTACTTCTTATAACTGCTAATAAATAGCTCAGAAACTATCTTTTTATAGGCATATATACCCACCTCCCCTAACCCCCTTACCTGACACTCTTGATTGTCTTTATAAGCAGCCAGAGCCTTCAGATACTCTTTCTTGGCAGCTTCAGTTTTCCTCTTATATACCTATAGGAAAGAGAGACTATTTTAAAAGTCCCCATCCTCCTAGGGAAGAGTGGTAATTCTTTATTTATCAGTGAATGACAATTCATCTCAGTCTAAATATTGACAACTGGTGAACATACTTCTGAAAGCAAGTAATCAAGGAAACCACCATGGCAGAGTTTCCAGTGACCAAGCATCTGAAAGACAGCCAGTCAAGAAGAGTCTTCCCAGAATAACTACACTTCTAAAGCTAACACCAACCCATGCCCACTTCTGTAAGCAAAACAAATACTGATCCAAAAATGGTATAAGACCTGCATTCTGCTTAGCCTGGGATTGTGTCTAACCAGTATATTCTCCCTTAAGGAATGTGGTAAATTGTTGGCAGTGATGGCCATAAGAATTCCTCCCATCCTGCACATTTCTTCTATCAAGAGCTGAAACCTATTTCCCCTTCCTTTGACTCTGGGCCAGTTCTATGAATTGTTTTGACCATCAGAACGTGGCTGAAGTGACATAGACCTTGGAGCCTCTGTTTTTTCCTCTGGGAACACTGCTCTAAGTCTGCAGTACTGTAAAGAAGTCAGTCTAGTCTTTGGGAGGATGAGAGGCCACGTGAGGGAGAACAGACATCTCAGCCAACAGGCAGCACCAACTGCCAGATATGGGAGTAACTATACCTTGATACCAGCTGTCATCTGACTTTGCACCACAGGAATGATTTCCTGGCAAGAAACCAGGAAAACCACTCAACCAATTTATAGAATCATGAGAAACAATAAATTTGCCACTGTTTGAAGCCATTAAATTTATGGTGATTTGTTCAGCAGCAGTAGATAACTGATATAAACTATCTCTAATAAATCCAGCTTTTTGTTTCAAATATTAAGTAGTGGACTCTGACAGAAGACTAAAGGCTAGGGTAATGATAGCATTTTTCAATTTCAATTGTATCTTATACACATCACAATTTTTACTTATTTTTTTTAAGTCCAGATTAAATTTAGAGAGATTAACTATAGTTTTCAAGTTTGTTACTAGGCCAACAGGAAAACCCTAAATTTTAAATCCAAACTTGGTAGTGGATTTTAGAGTTAGCCACAGCATGTAATCTACCAAGGAATAGCCAAATTTTACAGCTGGAGAAAAAAAATGAGGCTTAGAAAAGTTAGATTCAGTGCTTTTATAGTAATTACTAATAATTTTTAGATGGGTATTCTGAATTTAGTGTATGGCTGCAACTTCAAAGACAAAGGATGACCTGTGAGTGTCATTGTTAACAAAAAACTGGCATTACATAAAAACATTTAAGACAGTTAAAACTGTTCTTCCCCTCTACTTAAAAATTTCTAGAACATCCGTTCTCCATTAGCTCCTCCATTATTTGCTTACCTGTTTTTGCTCCTCTCCAAGACTGTCCCACATGGAGGCCACAATTTTTGAAACCTCCCCAAAAGTGGCATTGGGATTCTGTCCCTTGATGGCTGCCTGTGTATCACGAAAGAATAAAGCATATGCTGAAACTGGTTTCTGAGGTTCATTAGGATCTTTCTTTTTTCTCTTCTTTGGGGCCTTCTGCTTTTTTCCTGTTTCCACCACAACTGTCTTCTGGCTGGGAAGTTGCTGTAGGGGAGAAATGAGAATTACATGAAGGAAAATGGGAAGTACGTCTGGAGAACTGTAAGAAAAGGACATTTATATGGGAAATCTAGGCACATGGATAGAATTTTCAGAAATGCTAAAAACAGAGGTGACAGGAAAGTATGTGAGGACCAACAAGATGGGGATTGGGAGGAACATTATAAACTAAATTGAGAGGTGAGACCCCATACCCAGAAGAGAGCAGAGGAGATGGCAGCACAGGGGTAAAGAATACTGTGTAGCTCTGTATACAAAGAGTTTTGTCCCCAAATATCATGGTAGATTTGATTTTGGCAGGGAATGCCTCACCCTCCGGAAATCCTCAACACCATCCTCATGAAGTGAACTAGTAGGTGAAGGGGTGGTTGAAAGACGATCCTCTGGTGACTGGGCAGGTGGCAGGATGGTACCACCCCCTAAGCTCAAACCAAGTTGAGAACTCAGTTCTGACTGATCAATGGTGGTCAACTGGCTATGCCCCATCAAGCCAGATGTCATGTCTGTCATTGGTACATCAATTGTAACAGGTGGGTTGGCGCTATACTGAGTTCCTATAGAATGGTCCAAGTCCTTATGGAGGCCACAATTTTTGAAACCTCCCCAAAAGTGGCATTGGGATTCTGTCCCTTGATGGCTGCCTGTGTATCACGAAAGAATAAAGCATATGCTGAAACTGGTTTCTGAGGTTCATTAGGATCTTTCTTTTTTCTCTTCTTTGGGGCCTTCTGCTTTTTTCCTGTTTCCACCACAACTGTCTTCTGGCTGGGAAGTTGCTGTAGGGGAGAAATGAGAATTACATGAAGGAAAATGGGAAGTACGTCTGGAGAACTGTAAGAAAAGGACATTTATATGGGAAATCTAGGCACATGGATAGAATTTTCAGAAATGCTAAAAACAGAGGTGACAGGAAAGTATGTGAGGACCAACAAGATGGGGATTGGGAGGAACATTATAAACTAAATTGAGAGGTGAGACCCCATACCCAGAAGAGAGCAGAGGAGATGGCAGCACAGGGGTAAAGAATACTGTGTAGCTCTGTATACAAAGAGTTTTGTCCCCAAATATCATGGTAGATTTGATTTTGGCAGGGAATGCCTCACCCTCCGGAAATCCTCAACACCATCCTCATGAAGTGAACTAGTAGGTGAAGGGGTGGTTGAAAGACGATCCTCTGGTGACTGGGCAGGTGGCAGGATGGTACCACCCCCTAAGCTCAAACCAAGTTGAGAACTCAGTTCTGACTGATCAATGGTGGTCAACTGGCTATGCCCCATCAAGCCAGATGTCATGTCTGTCATTGGTACATCAATTGTAACAGGTGGGTTGGCGCTATACTGAGTTCCTATAGAATGGTCCAAGTCCTGAGAGAAGCAGAAGGACTAATTAAACACTAAATATAAAAAATATCACTCCTTCCCCCAGCTGAATTCAGGACAGTTTATTTACCCCCCTGCTTACCCGGATTGTATCATCATTTAAACTCTAAACTTTGAATAATTTTTCTACATATAAAACATACTAAGCTTTTTAATAAAGTATAGAAATCGGTAGTCACTTATTTGTACTCGGAAGCCTCTTCCAAAATAACCAGAAATAACTAGAGAAGTCCTAATTTTGGACAAGTTAACAAAATGCAGTAATCTGGAGGTAGTGATGATATAGAGGGTAAAGAAAAACTTCCCTGTCACCTCCTAAAATAATGGCTTTTAAAGTTGCCACTACACAGCTATTAGAGTAAGTCCAATATTAGAGATGTTTGGTATCAAATAGAGCATGCAGAGATGTACCACTGATAAGTGCTGGAAGCCCAATATACTGATTTATAACCCTAATCCATAATTAATATATTGGTTCAGACTGCTTTGAATAAATCCTCCATGGACAGCTATCACACATTTGAATATTAGGATGTGAAGACCATAGTAAAGGAAAAAAAACCCTTATTTAAAAAAAAATTATTTTCATTTCAGGGTTAACACTGGACATTTTACAATTTTAAACCATTTTTCAAGTGAAATTGATTCAGATGATATACCACATTTATTCCAGGAGAATGAAGTCTTTGTTGGTGAACCTTTAGTCACAAGAATGAGAATCAAGTAATACGCAAGTGCAGTAGGGAATAGAGTCACTTTTGTCTCCTCTAACATCAGGCCCATGAACTTGGGTAAGCCTGATAATGTCTTGCCCCTTACCATGGTCAAGCCCCCACTCAGGAGCCCCCCGCCCTGCTCCATCAAGCCATGGGTCATGCCAACAGGCATGTCCAATGTCTGGACCCCATATTGGGCTGAAAAGCTGCCATCCTGAGAGGAGGAAGGGTCTGCCAGGTCATCAAAGTGGCCAACCACATCTGAGACAGCCAGTGAAGGATCAGAATCCAAGGAGATAGGCGGGATTTCAAATTCCTCATCACCCAAGCTTGGTGTATGGAATGTCTGTAGTGGGGGAAAAAAGGGAAAACAAATTAGTGAGAAGAGGAAGAACTGCGTGTTGCTACGTGAAGAACAAGGCTGGGTACTGGAGATTCTCAATGTACCTCTTTTTCAGGTGGGATCCTATTTTCGTTATCAATTTCTTAGGACCTACTTAATTCTGCAAATATTTCTTCTTCCTCATACCCTTGGTCATGTGGCACACATAAGGCTGCCGCCATTAATCAGTTTTCAATTCTTTTACCTCTTTTCTACCTTTACCTTCTCAGTTGTCCTGAACTAATGCCTGTTGTTCTAATGAATGATTCTTCCAGCACCATTATTAAGGAGTCAGCCTTTATAACCTGTTTAGCTATGGTGCTTACAATCTCTCTAAAAGTCTAACAGATGGCAGTTACTTCACAATTACTATGATCTGAACTGTTAGACCACTGAAATTCACTGTCAATCAATTAGCCTTGGACTCAGTTTACTATACTTAGGGTCCTTTGAAGAAGATCTTAAAAGGTACTGGACTGGCAAGGGAATCTTACCCCCTGTAAAATAAATGCACTTAGAGTGTCCTACCTCTTTTCCACTTTAGAAAATACGGCTTTAACAACAAATAAGATTCCTATTTGTACAGGATTTTTTTAAAAACCAGAAATGCCAAGATTAGGAGAAAAACCTTCATAAGAGCTAAGCCAAAGGCAAACTGGTTCTCTTAAGTTCCCAAACACATCGCTAGTCCTGCTCTGAATGAACCTTTCTGAAAGAAAGAAAAAGAATCCCTTTCTCTAAGTCCAACTACAATAATATACTGTCTTTATTCTGAATGGGGCCACCATTCATGGAGTTAATAGACCAGTGCTGAATTAAGATACATTAAATGCTATGTTCCTTTCTGACACTAAAAAACTAAAATGGCAGCATCTGTAGCAATATTATGAATAATAGCAAGAGACTGGTGTCAGAGAAGTCTGAGTTCAAATTCAGCTCTGCCATTTATTATGTAAATGTAACCTTTAATGGTCATATACGAATTTTCCTCATCTATAAAATGGAAGTTGTAATGGTAATCTCCTTATATTGTTATGAGGATTAATGGGATTTAATATGCAAAAGCGTATTACACTCCCTGGCATATATACATATGCGTGTGTGTGCATATGTAATTGCTTAGTAGTTATTAATGATAATATGAATATACTAATTATTACTAACTTGCTACCTGCCCCAAACAATTATCATAGATGGGTGAAACTTTTGAAACTTTAAATTCTATCATCCTGTCACATGGCATAGTAAATATCAAGTGATTAAGATCAAATTCAGTAGGTACCTACATTTTTTTGTCATGATTAAACAATGCAGTCTTTAAGAGTTTGTCAAGGTTTTCTTGACCCAGAAAGGTCTCACTCATGTCACCATTTTTATTCTAATGAAGATACTGCTAGAAAGAATATTTCTGTAGTAGAAACCAGGGAGAAAAAGGTATGTCTGTGAAATGCCCAGTCTCTCTGCATGTATGTGTATATAGCTTCATTTCTACATTTTCCTCCTCTAATACCTTTGCTACTTCATCTAGCATGGTAAAAATTTGGTAGTTGTCTGGGATATTACATGAGAGTAGCACAAGAGCAGGCAGTTCTTGATGAGAAAAACTAATACTCTCCCCTGGAACTAAAATTTTCTCAGTATACAACTCGTAATTTTTGTTATTTTGTGGGAGTTCTTAACTTCCGGTCTATGACTTTCTGAAATTTCAGTTTAGGTTCATGTGAACACTTTTCAGGAAGAGGGTAAAATGATTTTTACCAAATTCTCATGTAAACAAATAAGAGTTACGGGGATAGGAAAAAAGATCATGGGAAACATTTATTGTACTAGATTAATATAGTGATTGTATAATAGCGGTTCACCATTTTTTAAAAGATACATATTGCTTTGACAAAGCAAAAGATGCCTATCCATTTCTGCTTACCACAACAAATAGAAAAGCAACTCTACCAAGGTATGAAAATGATACTTTTTGCTAGTGAGAACTGAAAAAGATGAAAAATTCATATCCAAAACAAGAGACCAGTGTTCTACAAAGGACTACCCCTCATAAACCATCTGAGTGTTCTCACTTAAAAACCAGACATGCAGAGATTCCACTGTATTGAATTAACAAGGCATTCTTTCTATGCACCACTCCCTGGAATGTGGAAACAGCTTTGTTATTCAGTATCTGTGGCTTTAATGGTTTTTTGTTTTGCTTTGTTTCTTGCTTTAAATAAGAAAAGTAAAATAATGGCAATGAACAATATAGAAGGGTAAAGCACATGCTCGAATAAACACAGATTCACTCTAAATCTCTTTTACTACCATAAATTATCTGTAAGAGTAAGGCTAAAATGCAATAATGAATATCTAAAGTTACACTGTTCCTGTGGATCTGAGACAGGGACTGTGGGTGTAGTCAGAGTAGGGTGAGGGCCTCCGGGAAATGCAGGGTGGAATATTTACAGTCAGAGCAATGTAACAATGGGCAACGAAGTCCCTACTGAAACTCTGTGCTAAGCATTATGCCAAGTCAAGGTCACACTCTCAAGGGTAAAGATTCAGACATCTTTAGTGAGATCAGTTAAAGGTCAAAAGGCCAGGAGCAACTTGGCCTGGAATGTTTGAGTGTTCTGCAAGGGTATCAGCACAACGCATGACTCTGCTGTCAGCCCTAGCAATCAATGACTCAGCCCACCTTGAGGACAAGGGCAGAAGTACACACCCCTAAGCCTTTTTTTTGATGTTCTCGAAATATCCTCAAATGCCTATAAAACCCCTAGACAACGCACCATCACGGGCTCTCTTGTCCCCTCCTGGCATGAGCCAGGAGCTCTATTCTCTCACTTTATTCCTAAATAAAAGCCTTGCTCTCCTACACTGAGTGTTTGTGAAGCTCATTCTTTGGCTTCCTGAACAAGAACCCCGGCATCAGATCTACTACGTAACTAGGTCATACTCTAGACTCATAAAACAAAGATAAAACTGTAGCAATTTTTAAGTAAAATTAAATGATCTGGGCACAGGAGAAAATAGAAACCCGATGCAGCTATCTTCTCATGCAGCTTTCTTTTCCTTTTCTTCTCTGTTAAATTCTTGGGCTTTTTTGAGGGAGTAAGTAGTTTGGAAACTACAGTTTATAAACAAGAATGCTTGGATACTGAGAAAAAAAAAACAAAAAAGACCATTTCTCTCCCTTTTCACATTTCCCGATACCAAAACATACAGTCCAGAATTTCTTTAGTTTCTTGTGTAGATTATTCATATTAAAGCAATGTATTTTAATCCAACACCTATTTATTCAACAGTATACTGGTAGTATGGGTTTTTAAATAATTTATTCATTCTTAAAAACTGATATAGTAGTGACACTTTTAACTATTCAGCCTGAAACCATTAAGTGGTTCTAATTTTTTTTAAATTATTATTATTTTTTATTGAAGGGTAGTTGACACATAGTATTACATTAGTTTCAGGTGTACAACACAGTGATTCAACATTTATATACATGATAATTCTAGCTACCAGCTATCACCATACAAAGTCGTTACAATATTTTGACTATATTCCTTATGCTATATATTACATCCCGGTTACTTCTTTATTTTACAATTGGAAGTCTACTTTTTTTGTTTGTTTGTTTGAGAGGGCATCTCTCATATATATTGATCAAATGGTTGTTAACAACAATAAAATTCTGTACAGGGGAGTCAATGCTCAATGCACAATCTTTAATCCACCCCAAGCCTAATTTTCATCAGTCTCCAATCTTCTAAAGCATAGCGAACAAGTTCTTACATGGAGAACAAATTCTTACATAGTGAATAAGTTACATGGTGAACAGTACAAGGGCAGTCATCACAGAAACTTTCGGTTTTGCTCATGCATTATGAACTATAAACAATCAGTTCAAATATGAATATTCGCTTGATTTTTATACTTGATTTATATGTGGATACCATATTTCTCTCTTTATTATTATTATTTTTAATAAAATGCTGAAGTGGTAGGTAGATGCAAGATAAAGGTAGAAAACATAGTTTAGTGTTTGTAAGAGAGCAAATGTAGATGATCAGGTGTATGCCTGTAGACTATGTGTTAACCCAAGCTAGACAGGGGCAATAAAACATCCACGGATGCAGAAGATTTCTCTCAGAACAGGGGGGGTGAGGTTCTAAGCCTCACCTCTGTGGATCCCCAATTTCTTACCTGATGGCCCCCCTGAGACTGTGCCTATCTTAGGTTGTTCCTACCTTGAGGAATCTTACCCGTCTCTGGCTATAACTGGTTCTAATTTTAAAAGTACTTTTCCTCACTAAGGACAGGTATCTTCATGACATTATTTCCTCAAAGTTCTCCAAGTACAATATCATGTATTACAGAAGAGCTAACTTGGATGAAAGAAACACAAAGATTAAACTCCCTCCAGATTACAGAGCTTTCCTATCTCAAGCAAGGCTGTAATAAATGCTAAGCCTTCCTCTCTGCATACCCACTCTAAGAATTATTAGTTATTTTGAGGTATAACTTATGTAAGGTACACACTTTTAAGTGTATAGCTCAATGAATTTTTACATATATAAGCATCCACATAACTACCACCCATATCAAAGATACCAAACATTTCTATCACACCAAAAGATTTTCATATATGCTCCTTCCCAATCAATCCTCTCTCCCTTTCGTAACAGGTACTATTCAGATTTGTCACCATAGCATTGTTTAGTCTTAATACTCATTAAAAAATGAATCCTTACAATAGCTACTCGTTTATGTCTGGATTGCTTTCCTCAACAATATATTTTGGAGATTATCTAAGTTGCAATTTTTAGTAGTTTGCTTTCTTAATTGCTGTATAGTATTCCTTCTCACAAATGTACCAGTTTATAGATATTGGGGATGTTTTCAGTTAGCTATTATGAGCTAAGTTGCTTTGAACATACATGTTTTTGGTGAATATATGTACTCACTTCCCTCATGTATATATCAAGGAGTAGAATTATCCTATCTCAGGATAGGTGTATGTTTATCCTTAGTAGATGCTGCCAGTTTTCCAAAGTGGTTAAATCAATTGACACTCTCTCATCAGCAATGATTAAGTTATCTACATTGGAACTGTCAATCTTTTGAACTTTAACCATGCTAGTATGTGCAATGGGATATCCTTATGATTTTAATTGGTATTTCCCTGATGAATGATGATGATACTTTTTCTATATGGCAATCTGGACACCCTCTTTGTGAAATGTGTATTCAAATCTTTTTCTTATTTTTAAATTGGATTCTTTAACTCTCCAGAAGTATTTGGTATTTCATATATTCTGAATACCAGTCGGATATATGTATTAAAATACCTTTTCCCAGTCTGTGTGTTGCCTAGTTTCTTAATGACATCTTTTGATGAAAAGAAGTTCCTAATTTTAATGAAGCCCAATTTTTCAATATTCTTATCATCGTTAATACTTTTGCAGACATCTTTTTCTTTCAAGAAAACTAATTTTCTAAAAGAAAATTTAAAGATTACCTTTCCCTAGTTCTAAGTTATATTTGGGGTGGCTCATAGTAAAACCAGATAAAAAAAACAAAAAAAACAAAACACAGACCAATTAAATTAGAGAACTTGCAAGGAAGAGGAGACCTATTAACACTGACAGACTGGCTAAAGGAAACCATTGAAAAACCACTGAAATTTAGTTATGAGCTTCTTGGCAAAATAGTTTTGTGTTTTTGATTTCTCAAAGTCATAAAAACAAAGGACAGACTCAAACCTGGAAAGCTTCATGAGGCCAATGTGAAATTTACCACACTTTAAATACATTTAAAATATGGAGACCTGATTCAGAAGTACATGGCAATGATGCACTTTCATGTGGATGAGGCCATGTGAGATTTACAACACTCCAAATAATATAATTAAACCATGAAGATCAGAAACTGGCAGTGAGACTGCAAAATACCACAGATTTTAGTTTTAAATCATTTCTAAATATGCTGCTCATTTGATTCACACTTTCCCCTGCTAAGAATAATAAATAATAGTAATAAAGAAGTTAAACTAGTAACTGCCCCTTGTCAATCCAACTCTTATCCATGAAAATGTTAAGATTTACTATAGAATACGCTAATTCAACAGCAACGGAGAATTCCTGGTACAAAAATCCGATGTCAATTGTTGACACCACTTTTGAAGAAAAGTTTTAGTACTCAGAAGGTAGAAAGCTGAAGACGTCAAAGTTTCTCAGTGGGAAATTAATTTTTGTCCCATCTTTCTTACCTTACCTAAACAAGTGATATATACCTATATTATTTCAACCAATAGTTTTCCATGATTACTAAAGGACCATTACTTCTACTTCACAACTTCCTAAGAAACTATTACAGCCATTTGACAGCTGGGGAAACTGACATACGAAGGTGAAGTGACCTGCCCCGACTCCGAGTCACTGCTAACAGAAACAAATGTTCTACTCAACTCCCTTCATGTTTTCTAGCAACTATTTCCTTTCATCCTGTAACTAGCAAAGCAAGCCAACACCACGTAAGTAAACATAACTATTAACTTCAAAAAAATCACTGAGTAGGAAATTTAAATGAAACAAAAACTCCGTCAACAGAGTTCAAGAATGAACAGAAGTCCATAGTTAACCTCTGGTAGGTAAACTCCTCCCCTTCCCCCAATTTCCTTAGCTGAAACATTCCCTTTCCGCTGCGATTCCCCAAGATTGTTGCAGTCATTACTCCCCAATGAAAGGAGACAATTCCACTGTGTCTTCCAATCCACAATCACTCTGAAACAGGTTGGCTTTTCCCAACATCCTGCTTTTCTGATGACAGCAGCTTCCCGGGCCTTCCCCTTAGTCTTCACAGGCTCCGGGAGCAGCTGCCACTGTTCTCAAAGCACCAATCGCCCAGGGTTCCCAGCCCCCGGACCCTGGCGCCCGCAATCTCCTCCCCCCACCCTACCCCGCCGCTGCCTCACGCCCTCCCCCCGCAGCGTCGGCAGCTCGTGCTCACCTCGGCCCCTGACAGGAAGGGGTGCGAGGGCCCTGTGATCGTCAGGTAATTGTCATTTCCTCCGGGAAACTGGAAATCAAAAGAAAGCCGCGGGGGTAAGTTAAAGGGAGCAGTGAGTTAGCCTGGAGCGACGGACTCTGACCCCGATATTCTGACAACGCTCCCCAAACCCTATTCTCGCTCCCCGCCAGTCAGCCGCCTCTCCGCCCGGCTTTCCGCCTCTGCTTCAGCCCCGCCGGCCGCGCGTTCTCGCCAGCCTTGTTAGTGCTCAGATTCCTACCTCCATCTTCTCACAACGGCTACCACCGTCTCATTCCCCTCATCACTCCCACCGCCCTCACAGGGCTCGAACTGCCGTCACTTCCGCAAGGACATGCGTAGCTCTTGGCTGATCGAAACAAGAGCAGAGGGGCTGTTGCAACTCGGGCCGGGGAACGCCGAGCGAAAGGAAGGGCTCCCTATCGCCCCCTGGAGCTTGGTAGGATAACGGCATGCAGAAGCGTTAGAGGCATCCCTGGAGGCGGGGTCTGGGTGTACCGTAGATCCGACCGAGGGAGGATTTCTGGGGAGAGCAATAGAGACGTCATCTGGGCTAGAGGGGCCTGGGAGCGGTAGATTGAGTGGCTAGAGAGCCCGGAGGTAAGTGGCTGTAGAAGTCGGGCCCACCCAGAATCCAGAGGAAACGGGACCATGACTTATGCTTATCTCTTCAAGTACATCATCATCGGGGACACAGGTAACCCGCGGGCGGCGGCCCTCATGCCTAGGACGGGAATCCAATGGTCCCAAATCGGGTTGTGGGGGCGGGGCTCATTTTGTGGGCTGGGCGAGTCAGTAAATAGCGGGCGGGGGCGGGGCAGCAGGGGCGGGGCTCGGGGCTCCCATTCCCCTGCCGCTGACGACCGGACGCTAGTCTGTGCCCGGCAGGGTGACTCTTGCACGCACGGCCGTCTGTTTCAGGTGTGGGGAAGTCATGTCTCCTCCTGCAGTTTACAGACAAGCGCTTCCAGCCGGTCCACGACCTCACAATAGGTAAGCGCATCTACCTGCCCCAGAACAGAAAATGACGCCTGATTTAAGTGGAAAGTCAATTAGTCTTCAGTGCTTGTAGTAAAAAGTGAGCACTTCCTATTTTAAACTAGTACAAAGTACGTTAAACGAAAAGTGGGTCATCAAATGCTGGTAATTGAGGAGTAAATAATTGAAAGGTAACTTTAGAGATGAACGTGAGGTATGGATTAGTTGCCGTAGGATCTTTTTTCCTCCCCGGATGCAATTTGTGTTTATTGAAAACCCTAGGAAAGGATAACTACTTATTCCAAACCTTACCTTGCTTTGCGGTAAATTAGTGCTAACCACTTAAGCGGTTTTAAAAGTAATCACCAATACACAGACTATTTTGTGTGTTGGAGAGGAAGAAGCAAATAGAAGAGCCATCCCAGACTTAGAAGTAACAGGCAGATGAAACTAATAACTTTTCTTTTAAAGAAAATGATATGATGGAGTTCTAAAAACACACTGGTGGTCTGGAAAGTATATTGTGATAAGGCATGGTCTGCTGGGCCTTTAGAACCTCTTTCCGTAATCTCCTTAAATCCAGCTCAAATAAAGAATATACATAAAATTAGCCTTCTTGCCATGCAGACTCAGTTCCTGAATAAAATCCTCTAGCTCGCATTCTTACCTACTGCCATTTCTGAGTCCCACCTTATGGAAATCTGAAACTACTACTTCCCAAAGGACTTATACAGAACCAATTAACCAGAGGCGTTAGAAAAGGATTTAGAGGATTGCATGAAGAGGAAAATATTTTTATAAATGAATATTAAGTGAACACCTACACTGCAGTAGTTGCTAATGATACTGTGCTCAGCAAGGCAATCGTGTCTGTCCTTGAGTAGCTTAGTTTTCCAATGTAGGAAGTGGGCCTGGAGGTAGACAGTGACAAGTAAATTCCTATGGCAAAAGGGGAGGAGAAGCTACCATCTCTTCTATCAAGAAAGGCTGAAAATTGAATGAGGTATTAGTCAAGCAAAGGGGTTGTAGAGATGAGGGAAAAGTGGTAAGGGCAAGAGGGAATGATGTGCAAAAAAGAACTATTGTTTCATAGAGAGGACTAGAGAGTGACTTTGAGAAAATGTTAGGAAATACTTTAAAATTTAGAAAAATTGTAAAAAATTGCAAGATTAAGCATTACCTAATCAAATTTAGGCATTAGCTAACATTGCTAAAAATTAATTCATCTTTTCTACTTGACTTCTTAATGAGTTAAATCCCCATATCTGCTTTTTGGTTATGTTCCTGAGGTCTTATGACCTAGAACACAGTTGTTAATTCTAGAAGGGAAATGAAACTTCAAGGAGCACAAAATTAATTGGAGCAGCCAGCCAGCCATAATGAGTGCAGACAGAATATAAGTCATTAGCACATTGAGATAAAGCATGAACCTCTCACTTAATGTGACTGTTGTTCTAAGAATCACGTTCTTTTTTTTTTTTTTCTTAACTGACAGGTGTGGAGTTTGGGGCCCGTATGGTCAACATTGATGGAAAACAAATCAAACTGCAAATCTGGGATACGGTGAGAGAGGACAAAATAAATTGGTCCCTGATCAGGATCCAAATATAACAGTAAAAGATGATGCAGGGAAGGGTGTAGCTAATGGTGGAGAGGAGAGCAGGGGAAGAGTGAAGTCCTAGAGATGGGGGAGCTTTCACTTCCATCTAATAGGGTTACAAATTCTGAATGTCATAACTTTGGGTTTTTCTTTTCAATTACCCAAGCAATATATATGACTTTAGTAAAAATAGAAGTGTATAGAGTAAAAAGTGAGTGTTCCCTTTATGCACATAAACCTCTTTAGTCCCTCCCAATCTTAGTTCCTACTCTACCAGAGTAAACCACTACTATGATTCAGTGTTCATTCTTTCAGACTTTTTCTCTGCATTTAGACACACAAATGTAAACATACACAAAGATATGGCAGTGATTCTGTTTCTGTCAGTTTTTACACAAATAGAATTGTGACAATGTAGACCTAGCTCTGTGACTTAGGTTTTTTGTTTAACAATCGCTATGACTTTTCATGCCCCCTACATATATATCTTCTACCGCATTCCTTTTAATCACTGCATCGAATCATAGAATGTGTGTCCCATAATTTATTTAACCCTCCATTCCATTGATGGGAATTTAGGTTTTTTCCAATTTTTTCACCATGGAATAGTTTCATTGAACATTCTTATTTACTACATTTTTATACAGATGTTTGAGAATTTCTGTGGAAAGCCTGTCCAGTGTCCAGAAATGGATGTTCTAGGTCAAAGGTTATACATATTTTAAAATTTGACAAATGTAGTACCGCCAAATTTAGCTTAGTATAATTTTGCTTCATCCACATAAATTGCTTTCATGTGCATTACGTCTTTTGGATTGTACCTTTCTTATCCCTTAATAATATCCTAGTCTTTATTTTAAATTAAAGGGACTTAGCACATAGTCCTTAATATTCAGCTAAAATCTCTTCCAGTTTTTATTTACTTTTGTTATTGAAGTATCGTTAAGACAATTTTTTTTATTTTGTTATCATTAATCTACAATTCCATGAAGAACATTATGTTTACTAGGCTCCCCCCTTCACCAACTCCCCGCCCCCACACCCCATTACAGTCACTGTCTATCATCGTAGTAAGATGCTTTAGAATCACTACCTGTCTTCACTGTGTTGCATAGCCCTCCCCGTGCCCGCCACATGCTAATTATGCATACTAATCCTAATAACCCCTTTCTTTTTCCCCGCCCTTATCCCTCCCTTCCCACCCATCCTCCTCAGTCCCTTTCCCTTTGGTAACTGTTAGTCCATTCTTGGGTTCTGTGATTCTGCTGCTGTTTTGTTCCTTCAGTTTTTCTTTATTCTTATACTCCACATATGAGTGAAATCATTTGGTACTTGTCTTTCTCTGCCTGGCTTATTTCACTGAGCATAAATACCCTCTAGCTCCATCCATGTTGCAAATGGTAGGATTTGTTTTCCTCTTATGGCTGAATAATATTCCATTGTGTATATGTACCACATCTTCTTTATCCATTCATCTACTGATGGACATTTAGGTTGCTTCCATATCTTGGCTATTGTAAATAGTGCTGCAATAAACATAGGGGTGCATCTGTCTTTTTCAAACAGGGCTGCTGCATTCTTAGGGTAAATTCCTAGAAGTGTAATTCCTGGGTCAAATGGTATGTCTATTTTGAGCTTTTTGAGGAACCTCCGTACTGCTTTCCACAATGGTTGAACTAATTTACATTCCCACCAGCAGTGTAGGAGGGTTCCCCTTTCCCCACAACCTCACCAACATGTGTTGTTGTTTGTCTTTTGGATGGTGGTGATCCTTACTGGTGTGAGGTGATACCTCATTGTGGTTTTACTTTCAGACAATTTTTATTTACTTCTTCTTATTTGATTGTTTCTTTAGAACTGAGAGCTGAAGCCCTTATATCTACAAGCAGTGATGAGTGATTTCTCCTCCTTTTTTCTCCTTTCCCTTCCTGCACACTGCCCGCCTCCCTAACCCACCCAAACACATGTAGGTGTGTCTTAAAAGCAGTTACGTGCTCCTGTAGGCTTTTCTTGGCACAACTTTTCCTAGTGGTCTCCAAAATTACCACTTTTGGATGCACTGATTTATGAGGTGCTTTTAACTAGGATAACATGCTCCTGTACATTTGTTGGTTGTATTTCCAAGCATTTTAATAACCTTTTGGCCATCTGATAAAATTTTTCATCTCACCTTACTGGCTTATCCTAATTATAGGAACATGAATCACTCTACATCTCTGATACTTGCAGCACTAGCTAAATACTTGTAAAACTTGCAGACTTGCTTCTTTTGGGCAGTTTTATCTCTAGCCTTTTCCTCTCAATAAAGCCTAAGAAGTATTACTCTATATCTCTTGCCAAGGTTAAGTTCATATATTTGTTAAACAGTTGCCACTTTTCCCTTCTTTCATTGTTGGGACCCAGGAGTTTTGTTACTATTAACCCAAGCCTGTATTGCAACTCTTCTCTTATTATCCCCTGGGTTTTATATTTCCCACAGAGGTAGATATGGCTCCTCAAGAGGCTACAGGACAAATTCTGAGGAGGTAACAAAGAGTGAAGCCTGTAGGTGTCAAGATTGGTATTAGCTAGATTCTGCCTTTTTAATTTAAACCTCCACCATTTCCAGAAATGGCTGTTTTTGATACCGGGAGCTGCTGTGGTCATGGTCATGAGAGTGTCTAAGGGTTGACTTGCTGGATTTTTCTTTTTTTGTTACATGGTAAATATGAGACACAGTGGATCATAAAATAAGTTAAGAACCACTGCTCTGTTGCCACTATCCTTAACCACATGACCTGATAGTCATTTGTGATGAAACTGGCCTAGTTCTTTTCTGCTGTGTTTTAATAATTGTTTTGAGATTAGATTAATCTTGGCTGAATCATAAAAAGATACAAGGTTTGAGAACATTGGGTTTTCTATTTATTTTGAAATTTTTAAGAGATTCCTACCTATAATGTAGTGTCTTGTCTTTTTTGTCTGCTACACTTGGGGTAAGCCTAATCATTTCTTCCCTGTCAGCACTGATCTCTCATCTATTGCTTACCCATCACAGCTTCCCACTGTGTTGACCCCACTTCTCCACTTACTCCCAAAGCCGCCATCCTACAAGAGAATATTTAGGGATTATCATGAAAGATATTTTTAAAGAGATCTGGTTATCCTAAGTTTTTTGTTGTCACTGTTCTGGTTATTAATAAGGATTTAGAGAGTCATTTACTTTTTAATCTTTCTTCATTCTATACATACAGTTGCCAAAATAACCATAATAAATGAAGAGACATTGTACTGTAGCTAATATAAAATATTAAATTATCCCAAACTCATTTGTGTTTTACTTTGGAATGCATTTTGATTCTTAGGAAATGAGCGTATCTGATTTTGTAGGAGTTGATACTTCAAACTATGTATCTTGAAACTATAATGTGATACTTCCACCTGGGAGAAATTAGAAAGCTGCTAATTATCAAACCTCCATCTTCTTTCTTTGCTGCTTCAGATTTTTTTTTTAGTGGGGACGGACAAAGATACCTTGGACTTGAACCACTCACTCTTTCTAGCTTATTGGCTCACAAAGTTTGGTTTTGATGAACTGGATTGAAATAAAGAAGTAAAATGGTTTGACTTTAAAAGGCATTTTCTGATGACCCAATGTATTTTAAGCTGCTGAAATTAAATGCAGCTGTGTGATTCAACCATCACGTGGGCCTCTCTCAAACTTTCCCTTTTAGTTCCTAGAAGGCCATGGGGAAGGAGGGTGCTTTCAATAATAGCAGGAGAGGAGGAAAAGTAAGATAAAAGCAAAAACAGGAATCAAATATAAAGACAGGGTTTAAATTTAAAAAAAAACTTAAATAAAATTAAGTGAGCTCTTGGAGGGAAAAAGTATGTTTTAAATGTTAATGTATTGTTAGTCTTACCAACAGTTCTTTACACTTCTTTTTGCACTTTGAGGTTCTAACAGGAGTACAACTCACTAAAATATTTGTATGATGCTTTTAGAAAAGATTCTTGTATTGTTGGAAAACTGGCATTAGGAATTCTCTTCTCCCCTTCAAACCTGGGTTCAGATTGTGTTATGTAATGGTTAAGAACAAACTTTTGTGCTAGAAAGTGAAAGGAAAGGAATGACATACAGCAGCAATTCACCGGAGAATTCTGCTTTATTAGGGAAAGGTGCTGGGTTATATACGAAGGGGCATGGGGTGATTGTGGTGTTACTTCTACGGGGCGGGTGGCTATTGGCTAGGTGCTGAGATTGGGAGGGGGGCGAGAGGTGATTGGTCTTCAGGTGGCGCCGTCGGGAACCGAGGACCTGGAAGAGAAGCCGGAAGTTTGCCATCTTACTGGTGGGGGCCCTTCATTCCCCCCTTTCTCCTCTATGGGGTTGTGGACATTGCTTTCTTTCTGACTGCTTCCTGCTGAATGGGGGCGGAGAAGGGAGTGAGGGCTTGAGGATGGGGAGGAAAGGGTTGATAGGACTCCCCACAGTAAGGACGAGTAGATGTGGACGTCTTCAGGTTGGAAATCAATGAATGTTCCCTGTAACTATAGGTCGAAGACTTGTTGATTCTAATGGTGGTGCCAGGAGGATACGGGTGCCAGAAGCCAGGCATCTGTGGCCATTGTTTCCAGGAACAGTTTCCAGCGGAGAGAGGGGTCCATCTCAGCATGTGGTGAGGAGGTTACGTGAGGGTGAGGGATCTTCTGTGGCCAGAAGCTGGTAGTTCCTGAGTAAAAGCTGGTTGAAAGCTTGATTAGAGATTTTTCCAACTTGGGATTTGATGAACTTTATTATACAGGGTAAGAAGAGACAGGCGAGAAGAATGATTATTATGGGGCCTGCAATGGGCCAGAGCCAGGTGAGGAGGGGGTTTGTTAGTATTGACGAGAATGGGTTGGAATTGGAAGCAGAGTGGAGACTGGAGGCAAGGTCGGTGAGTTTGGTAATGTCAGTTTCTACAATGCCAGATTCGTTGAT